CAATTGTTCTTTGAACAATTGGTTTTTAATTTTAGTAGTTGTCGTTTGTTGCTGTATATCATATTTGATTTTCGTTCATTATTTTGTACATAAATCAGGATGCTAGTTTTCTCGTTTGAATTGTTTTACATTTGTCATTTCGGGGCCTTTTAAAGCTGAATATGCGGTATGGGTTTTACTCATTGTTGGAGGCCGTACAGTGATCCATATTTAAAATTGAGAATAGAAATGGTAAATGGGTCAAAGAGAAAACAACCCGACCAAAAAGCAGAAAACAGCTCAAGGCCACCTATGGGTCTTCAACACAGCGAGAATATCCCTCACCCGGCGGCGGACTTCAGTTGGCCCCTAAAAAAAATGTGTACTTGTTCAGTAAAAATGGACGTCACGCTAAACTCCGAAACATATCAATGAACTGAAATTAAAAAAAAAAACATACAAGACTAACAAAGGCCAGAGGCTCCTGATTTGGGACAGGCACAAAAATGCGGCGGGGTTAAACATATTTTGTGAGATCTCAACTCTCCCCTTTACCTCTAGCCAGTGTAGAATAAACAAACACACAGCAATACGCACAGTAAAACTCAATTAAAAAAAATGTCCGAGTCCGATGTCAGAATAGGTAACAGAAGAAACTAAGCAAAATGACAATGATACATAAATTAACTAGCAGTTACTAACATGCCAGCTCCTGACCTCAATTAAACTGATTGAAAGATTATGACTTTATCATGTGAAAATCGAGCACAATCCCTCCCGTTAGGGGTTTAGTATCATACCATTATAAAATATATGAGAAGAACACAACTCGTCGTTAATTTGTGTCTTTTATGTCATTTGTGAAGAGTTGTCTCATTGGCAATCATACCAAATTTTCCTAATTTATATAAAAGGCCCCGATATGAAATATATTAAACAATTCAATTTAGAAAACTAGCGGCATAATTTATAACAAAACAATTTAAGAAAAACAAATAAGACAGACTAGTTCACCACTATTTTTATGTGGATTTCATGTTGCTCACTCTTTATTTTGTGTACAGTTTTGTGGGCTGGGGTTGGTCTAGTCTTCATTTTCCTTGATCATCTTTTTTTCTCTCTACGTCATTGTTTTATTGTCCCATTGGTATTTTTTCTCTTCTCCTTTTTAAAAGACCATTCTCTTTAGACAAGGTGAAAAAATCTTTAGCTATTTACCATGACATCTTTAAGATATGTTTTGAAAAGAACGAGTATGTGCTGTCTATATTTTTGTTCAAAAGATCCTACATAAACATATGACAGTCTGCACTATTTTTTTTTCATATATGACTGACAGATCGTCTTCCAAACTGTTATCTTTTTTGTCTAATAGAACTTCCAAAAGAAGGACTAATTCTTCCCTTACAGACTTGTATAAATAATCAGGAGATGGGACAACAATATAACGTAATTTTTCTCTCAGCTATGAATATTATTCAGAGTAAAAATTAAGTTCATTTTAAAGTCGTACAAAAGTATTAAATGCTCATATTAAATGTAGATGAGTTTTCGATTATGTTATAATAATGAGAAAGACAAAAGCAAGGGGATAAAGTTACAGCTTTATCTTGAGAAAAGTTTAAATCACACGTAACTCCAAGTCCCCAAAAAAGGAAATGTAAAAACTAAAACATTATGACACAAAATGAATCAAAAGTTGTGTTTAGTCATGACGTTGCTTATACTGCATTATGTCATTAAACAAATTTTAAAATGAAGTCGAAGCTAAGAAAGGTTCAATAGTTAATAGTTCTTTGATTTAATACACGAGTGCTTTTTTCTTCACTGATGACTAACTATGACCTTTGGAAAAGTCAAGAAGCTGATACTAGTGCATTTGTTATTTTGCGACATTTGGTGAAAATAAACGTATAAGTCTATTTATTGCATATTCAATGTGTTCAATAGTTATAATACTATCAGATTTTGTTGTGTGTCCTTCGAATTCCTTCGTAAGTATGATATAAACAACAAACAACTAAAATTTTGCATTTTAGTTGTTATTGCATTTATTTTACAACATACAACAACAAACAAACAACAATCTGCTCAAAAAGTGAACACTTCATAACAATTGATCACTGAAGGGAAAACCAATAGTCAGTGTTAAACAATTTCTAGCTACTACGCGGATCCATAATAGCTCAATGAGTATAATTTGAATAAATTACTGCAAAAATTAGCCTTTTTGTCAACTCTCAATCAAATGCTAATTCGCCATCACAATTACATAAGCATTATAAATTAAACGAAAATATAATGCAGTAGTTATTATTATTTATTTTAACATACAACACACAACACATGTTAACAAACAATTTCTTGTATGTATCGGATAAAAGCAATAGACTTTATAATATAAAAATAAGAAGATGTCGTATGATTGCCAATGAGACAACATTCCACAAGAAATCAAATGACACAGAAATTAACAACTATAGGTCACCGTTAGGCCTTCAACAATGAGTTAAACCCATACTGCAATATGTACTTCAGTTTATTTTCACATGTGGACAGGATCTGTTTACTCTTCGAGAGTACCAGCTGATGTGAGCCCTAGTTTCTAGTTTTATTTGCCTAGTTTTTAATGTTGTGATACTAGCTTTTTAAATTTCAACATTTGTGTTTTAACCGGTAACAGTCTTGTCTATTCTTTGTTTAAAAAACGTTCTTTCTAATTCAAAATTTCTTTTTCTGTTTACAGTTGAGGTTAGGAAATTACACGATTAATGTTTTACGATTTTAATGATGTTTTACTGTTAGAATAGAGTCAATTAACAATCCGCTATTGAGCGATGCCTTATCCCCCTACACCTGTTTTTTTTATTGGGGATTGTGTTGCTCAGTCGTAAGCTTTTATGAAGTTTTTTTTTTATTTGTTGTTTTTTTTTATTGTTTTTGATTTTTGCCTTGGCGTTGTCATTTTCTTCTCGATTGACAAAAAAGTCGACAGACTGTTAATTTTATTATGAATGTAGGTAAAATAAAATGAGATTATAAGTAACAAATATAATGAATAACGAGTTCAATTAACGAATATACCAAAACTGTTTAACGATTTAATGAAGATTTTATCCAAAATACGAAATCACCATTATGAAGTAGAAATAAAATTTACATTACACCAATTATTGCACGGCACTTCCTTTGCAAATGCAGCAACGTATAAATGATACATTTATGTAAAATATAACATTTCATCATAAAAATAATCCTAACTCTATGTTTATACTTTGTTAAAGTTGGAATTATAGTAGGTCCGAGTACACTTTAAAAAGACGACCCGAGTTGTTGAAAATATGCCGCACAACTCTATATTTTGACCTTAAAAAAAAATTGTAGCACATATGATCTTTCCATTCTAGGATATAAGTTTTTACGAAACTTCCAAGTAAAAGTGACACAGATTTAGCCGTAAAAGGAGTTCCTATGGGAAATTTCTTTGGCTATATTTACAGAAGTGCAACCTGTAATAGTTTATATGTTATTTTAAGAATAACGTAATGCCGTCAAACACTCTTTACGTTCTTAAACATTTACTCATTTAATTCCGATCGCATGAAAAAACATGACGGCCAGAGTTAGTCTTTGGTCCTGATTAACCAATTTTCAAGAACCTTCTCTTCTGACTTGATCTGCATGATGTTCCAAAAGAAGAGAAAATTCCATTGTGAAAAGGAAAAGCAAACACGCAAAAATTATTCCATGATTACAGCCAATATCACAAAGTGGAATGTATGTAGGTTTATCAGTTGTCACATTTAAGTTCAAACGTGCTAGTTTCTATAAAGGTCATCGACAGTTAGAGATTTCATGGTACTATAAAAGACAAATATAGCGTTCATACTATCTCACACCACATTCTATTGCAAGCAGGTAAGACTTATTCATAAGTATTGTCAATGTAGCTATTTATTATTTCAAATGTATCAACTAAGAACAGTCTGTTTCATATTCTGTTACACTTAGTTTATTGGTTAGGCTATTTTGATGAGTTTAAAAATTCTTGACTTATGAGTGCATTTTCTATTGAAACAAAAATATCTTAACATTTAGTAGATAAACATACAAAATAAATCCTTTGATACCGTATATCAGTAATAAATAAATAACCTTTCTATCCTTCTCATTTTTTACATACGTTTTAAGTACATGCGTATATGAAGCTAGAAGATCTCTTACTATCCGATACATGCATCCCTCCTTCAACTAATTTTTGTAACTTAAATCTTTCTTATTAAATGCAGTTACACATCCTTTGTTATTTACCAATTAAGAAAGGAAAAGGAAAGAATTGATAGAGGGATTATGACACTATTTTTACAGATAAAATAGTATCATTCCTTCATACTTTGTTTTGAAATTGTCGTCACAACATACTTTCCTCTTGCACGTCTTTAACTGTTGTTTTTACCTAAATTTTTTTCATAATTTTAAGAATATGTCTTCTCTCTTTTTGTACATATGTACAGTCTTCTCAATGTATTCGTATTTAATATTTATGCTTGAATAAGGTCCGACTATAGGTGACTATTATTCATAGATGTTAATGCTCCATACTGCATACAAATCTATTTTGTTGGGTATATTTTTGCTTGACTTTTTTGTCCAGCTGGTTATATTTACACGTTGAATTGAGGTTGATCCGTTAGGAATTTTGTTCCCATAGAATATTCCAAACTTATTTTAGACAAAACTAATACAGCCTGTTGTTCCCAGCACTTGTTGTATTAACAGGTGAATGATAATGTTATCTTGTAATTCTGTTTTAATTTAATTTGTTATCTTTATTACTTTACGCAAGAACGTTATCTCGTGAACCTTTAGTCTTTAGGGTCATTAAACCTGCTAATCATTGAATAGCTTTAAATTTGGTTCCAACATGACTGATATTGACATTTCTAGAGTATACACTGTATTTGGCTTAATTTTCAAAAAGTTATCTTTATAACTAAACTATTGTTATCTACTTTCAGTAAAAATAAAACCTTGAAGATGAAACTTGCTTTTGCTATATTGTTGTTGTTACCAGTAGTGTTTTCTATGCCACAGAAAAGACTTGTTTTTGGTAAGTGCTCACAGGGAAGTGATTTTTTCTTTAAGAAAATCAGGTTTCAACTCCTTCAGGTAAAGCTGACCTTAGATAAATTTGGCTCTTAAATCAGATCCTTTTGGTCATATAACTTTTCAACTGTCTTGGTTCTTATACATCATTGGGTTTTAAATATTCGGATTTGAGCGTTCCTGACGGAGGTAAATCCAGAAAAGCGCTTCTGGTGGATGAAATTTATAAATAGTTCATTTTTTTATGTAATGAGACCGAAATATATCATTTAAAATAAAATTTAACAGTAGTCGAACAAAGTGGGTTACACAGTTATTTCTTTATTTGTGTACTATTTTATGACAAAAAAGGTAATAACTTTGTTGTTTTGGTAGTAGTGTCCCTAGAAATTAGACTGAGTGTAAGTGTTTTACAAAAAACGCCAACTGATATGACAGTGGATTACAGTTCGAAGCTATAATGCAAAAACATTTCTAAGATTTAGAAAGATATTTTATAATCTTAAATAATTGTTTTCATCTGATCTGTCTCTCTTTTTTATGTTCGACAAATGATCATATGTTTCAGAAACATGATTTTGAAAGATTTGATATGCTGGTTTGGTATGTAATGCAAAGTATATCATTATTCCCCAAATGTGCCAACCGTATAATTTAGTGAAATATCATTTAACTGCGATATGTTTAAAATGTCGATACTTATTCCGCGAAACGATAACTTAGGGTATAAGATATAAATTATTGTTCTTTCTTACTTCAAGTAGTTGAAAATTATATAGAATGAATTAAGATTTTTTTTTTCATTTTCATTTTGACAATTTTATTTTAATGCAAGCAAATGTGATCATCGTTCTGACAGTTTTTATATTTAACATTTTTGAAGTATTTGAAATTTTTACATTTACACTGTTTTGATAAAAAATAGCTTGTTATGATAAATTTATTTTGATAATAAGGAAATTTTAAAGTTCATAAACTTAACGTCTTCTTTGCTGGATTACTTCCTCATCTTCTTATATTCCAAATAGATCGTGAATAAAAAAAAATAGATAAATTAACGTATGGTTAATTAAGCAATAGTTGTTTTCAATTTTCCGTCAATTATTTTTTTAGTTTTGAATGTTCTGTTGGTATTTTCCTACTATTTTTGTCTATCGGGCAAAACATTCGAAAGAGTCGCAAATCTGTATGTAGAATCAAAATTTTAAATTCAATCAAGTGCACTTAAACTGCGAAATTTGTTTCATGAACTCTTCCATTAACAAAAAGAAATTCTTTGGAAAAAGACATCAGCTTTCCTTTTTAAGTTTTACTGTTATAGTAGATAAATACCATCAAATAGAATATAGATAGGAACTTCGGGACGTCTTATGAAGTTTATGTATAATTTGTATGAAAAAAAAGCATAATGAGTTTATTTCAGTGAGACAGCAACCCATTGTCACAAAAACGAAGATGACATCTAGAAAACAACATACAGTCTTCAAACAAATGACCGATGTCTATATAATTTGACAAGATCTAAATCGTCGCGAGTCTAGTAAATTTGTTCTTATAAAGGATTATTTTCGGTTCACTAATCGATGAAATCATATAAATTATTTATATTATAAGCAGCTTAAAAAGTTGTGACAGACTTTTTTTTCGATTTTAGATACCTTATTTGAAACCAATGAACTGAAAACATTAGTAGACGGTTTAGTAGGTACATTAGGTACAGATGCATCTGAACAGGCATGTGAAACTGAATGCCACGCACTCATCACACAAGATCACCTCCTACAATTCGGATGTCCACTGGTTTGTAAAAGGTAAACATATATTGTTTTTACCATTTCCTCAACGTTAAAGAGGAGTTGTATATTATCATCGAAAATATGTATGAATGTTATATATTTCTCGTCAAATCAAGCTTGCAGTTCATCTGACTAGTATGTACTTGTGAAAATTTAAAAAATTGTTTGAGTGTACTCTTACACATTTCTCTGTCCTTGTCGTTTGATATAAAATATTTTTTAAACTATTCAAAAAATTCTGTTCATGGAATATAGTTATTAGACATAATTCAAAGTATAAAATCTATTGTACGGCTCGTGAAACTGTTTTGGAACATCATTTATCCCTCTAGACCAATAATTTTGAATAGAAAATACAGACAATTTTTAATAACAAAATTTGAAACATGCCAGAGCCCGTAAAGAACAGTCAAAATATTTTTAGACGAAAATTTGAAACGTTGATAACACATATAAAGGATAACATGACCAGACAATATTGGAGAAAATTTTTTCGTATAAACAACAAATAACAACACATTGTACAAATAGCCTGACTTAGTACATGTTAACACTTTGGTTGGTTAAACCAGTATTAATTGCGCACACACTAGCCTAATATGCTTATCTAGACCATATGTCGTAAAAGTAAAACATACAATAAAAACCAAGCATTGTGCATCTATCAGATTGACCACTTTCCTTAATATTGAACAATAAGACAGCAAAAATTTTTGAAAGCAACATCAAAATGTGCTAGCTACTACAGGACGCTAGCTAAGGTACCCACAGCTGTTGGTTAAATACTGTCACTTAAGAAAACAAAAGAATCTGAAAACAACACTAATTTTTCCTTTCCCTATAATTCAATATGAAAGTAACTTAGGATCAATAGTGTTTCAAGAGAATATATTATAATCCAGATATATTTTTTACTTTTTTGGTCTTTTGGAAAATGTTGTTTGTGCTGTATTTAGAACCCTCTAACAAGAAATTTGTTTTGCATGCACACGTATAAAAATTGCGGTTTTTATCCAACGCAATCATAGGTTTGAACGTTGTTTTCAATTTAGACTTGTATATATATATAAACTGAAATAAAAATCTTGAATGCTATACAAATTATCAATAATCAATACGATGGTAATTTTTGTCAATATTGATGTTAGGGAGGAGGAATACATTTCTTAAAACTGTAAGAGTCTAAAACGGAAGCCTGAGTTACTGGAAACAAGTGATGGTAGGGAAAATGAGTGACACATTCTATGTTTTTTCATTTTTTAGTATGCCCTATGGGGAAACTGTCCTAAGCTTTCTTATCCAAAACCTTTCCCGAGCAAGTCTGTCGGCCCTTGACCAACCCTCGTTGTGGTCTATGATAGTGATGATAAGGTGTTTGAGATCAGCTTGAGCGTGCCCAGGTGATCTCAAATGACGACTTACGGGGAAGTCGGGCTTGCAGGTGTAGTCACTTCGATGACCATTCACGCGTTTGTTGAATTGCTGTTCTGTCTCGCCAACATACTGCATGCCACATCGACACTGAAGAAGGTATACAACATTCTGGGTTTTGCAAGTTTCATTGCAAAACATAGTGTACACAGACCCGGTGGAGTGGCAAGTAAATGTTTGAGTATTCAGTATTTGTTGGCAAGTCAGACATCGTCTGTTACCACACGACTGGCACCATCCCAAGGATATTAGTTATCCGAAATATCTAAAAAAAAATCCTGATTTAATTATTTTGTTGTGATGTTGTACCCTTTTAGACTTGTTATATATTTTATTTTGTGGTGTACTGTATCATAATTTTATGATCCATCGCCCCGTAAAATTTATCGTTGGCTATTATTCAGTCATTTTATATATATTTATATCTATATTATTTTATCAAAGTATCTTTTATTTTATATGAACAGTTTCCAGAGTCTGGTTCACCGCTTTGGACATGCAACAGTTGCTCCAACTGTTTAGTTACAGAAAATAAATCTACAAGATTTACAGCAACTTGCTTTTTTATAAATTATTTTTTACTATAAAAATAAGGAGATGTGGTATGATTGCCAATGAGACAGCTATCCACCAAAGTTCAAATGAAGTGGATGCGTGCAATAATAGGCAATGGCACGCCCTTCAACAATAAGAAAACCTTATACCGTATAGATGGCTGCGAGTACTATCAGATCTGTTCTTAGTGTCTTTTTGTTGTGGGGATGTATAAGTACATTGCCACGTCCACTCTGTGTTTTTGTTACATGTATTTCTTCTTTGTATCTATCAGACGAGTTAAGCCCTTTTTAATTGATTTGTTTATAGCTTGTTCTTATGTTGTTCTGTTACACCACAGTTTAAGGTCAGGGGGGGGGGGGGGTTCGCGCCTTCAAACTAGTTTAACCCCGCGACATCCTGTATGTGTCTGCCCCAAGTCAGGAGCCAGTTATTTTAGTAGTTGTAGTTTGTTGCTTTTTATCATATTTGTGTTTCGTTCATTATTTTGTACATAAATCAGGCCGTTAGTTTTCTCGTTTGAATTGTTTTACATTTGTCATTTCGGGGCCTTTTGAAGCTGACTATGCGGTATGGGTTTGACTCATTGTTGAAGGCCGTAGAGTGACCTATAGGTAAAATTTAGAGTGAAAATCGGGAATGGCTCAACGAGACAACAAACCGACCAATGAGCAGAAAACAGCCCAAGGCCACCTATGGCTCTTCAACACAGCTAGAAAATCCCTCATCCGGAGGCGGACTTCAGCTGGCCCCTAAAGAAAAATGTGTACTTTTTCAGTAAAAATGGACGTCATGCTAAACACCGAAACATATCAATGAACTGAAATAAAAAAAAAAACATACAAGACTAACAAAGGCTAGAGGCTCCTGACTTGGGACAGACACAAAATTGCGGCGGGGTTAAACATATTTTGTGAGATCTCAACTCTCCCCTATACCTCTAGCCAGTGTAGAATAAACAAACACACAGCAATACGCACAGTTAAACTCAGTTTAAAAGAAATCCGAGTGCGATGTCAGAATAGGTAACAGAAGAAACTAAGCAAAATGACAATGATACATAAATTAACTAGCAGTTACTGAGATGCCAGCTCCAGAACTCAATTAAACTGATTGAAAGATTATAGCTTCATCCTGTGAAAATCAAGCACAACCCCTCCCGTTATAGGTTCAGTATCATACCATTATAAAATATATGAGAAGAACATAACCCGTCGTTAATTTCTGTGTCATTTGGTCTCTTCTTGCGAAGAGTTGTCTCATTGCATTTAATACCACATCTTCTTATTTTATATAAAAAGGCCCCGATATGAAAAATATGAAACAATTCAATTTAGAAAACGAAAGGCCTAATTTATAACAAAACAATTTAAGAAAAACAAATATGAGAGACTAGTTCACCCCAATTTGTTGTGGGTTTCGTGTTGCTCACTTTTTTTTGTACAGTTTTGTGGGCTGGGGTAGGTGTAGTCTCCATTTTCCTTGATCATGGTTTTTTTACTCTCCAATTCATTGTTTTATTGTCCCAATGGATATTATTTTCCTTTTTAAAAGACCATTCTCTTTAGACAAGGTGAAAAAATCTTTAGCTATATACCATGTCATCTTAATATATGTTTATAAAAGAACGAGTATTTGCTGTCTATGTTTTCATTCAAAAGACCCTACATCAACATATGAGAGTCTGCACTATCTTTTTCATATGTGACTGACAGATTGTCTTCCAAACTGTTTTCTTTTTTTTTCTAATAGAACTTCCAAAAGAAGATTAATTCTTGTCTCTTACAGACTTGTGTGATCAGGAGATGGGAGTATAATATAACGGAATTATTCTCTCAGCTATGAATATTATTCAGAGTAAAAATTAAGTTCATTTTAAAGTCGTAGCAAAAGTACTAAATGCTCTTATTAAATGTAGATGAGTTTTCGATTATGTTATAATAATAAGAAAGACAAAAGCAAGGGGATAAAGTTACAGCTTTGTCTTAAGAAAAGTTTAATTCACACGTAATCCCAAATTCCTAAAAAAGGAAATGTAAAAACTAAAACATTATGACACACAATGAATCAAAAGTTGTGTTTAGTCATGACGTTGCTGATAATGCAATATTTTATTAAACAAATTTTACAGTGAAGTCTAAGCTGAATAAGGTTCAACAGTATAAAAACATTTGACTTTTCTTCACTTTACACAGGTATTCCCCATTCCAAACTAAAAGACAAATTGAAAGAGTTGGTATAACTAAGTTTCATTAAAAAGAATGGCGAACTTAGATACAAGTATCTTGTCTTGGGGAGGGATAAATCCTACTTTGTAAAGAATTACTCTAATTCAAACAAAACATTCTCTGAAACTGACATTATCAAGATGCTTGATTTCTTGATTGACAACATATTTGTTATGATCGGAGGACGTGGTTTTCAACAGACTGTCGGAATTCCAATGGGAACCAATTGTGCCCCTCTTCTTGCCGACTTGTTTCTTTATTATTATGAGGCTGACTTCATACAGGAACTTCTTAGGAAGAAAGATAAGAAGTTGGCAATATCCTTAAACTTTACGTTCCGCTATATAGATGATGTTCTCTCACTAAATTATAGAAAATTTGGTGACTATGTTGAACGAATCTATCCCATCGAACTAGATATAAAGGATACTACAGTTAAGTCTACCTCATATCTTGACTTACATCTAGAAATTGACAATGAAGTTCGGTTGAAAACACAAACTTACGACAAAAGAGATGATTTCAGCTTACCAATTGTGAACTTTCCATTTCTATGTAGCAACATTCCAGCAGCGCCTGCATACGGAGTATATATCTCCCAATTGATACGATATTCCCGGGCTTGTATTTCCTATCATGATTTCCTTGATAGAGGATTGCTGCTCACAAGGAAGCTGTTAAACCAAGAGTTCCAAATGGTGAAGTTGAAGTCATCCCTTCGTAAATTTTACGGACGCCATCACGAGTTGGTTGACCGTTATGGAATAATCGTTTCACAGATGATAACGGATATGTTCCTTA